CAGTAGCTCTTTACAGAGCGCCATAATAGTTACTTTTTATTGATGACGTTTAATGTAAACATGTGACAGTACTATTACGTCATAAGTGCGATGGCGTCGTTGTAGTAAGCAGCATGATAATGCTGCTCTTTAACTTTGAGAAAGAAGTCCAGGGAGTGTTACAGGCTCCTTCCTTCCTTTATTTGGTCCTCATTCTTCTTCTTTTGTCTTAAACAGAGCTCTTCGGTCACATGACTTCTTGTCCTACACGTGGTTCGAGCAATCTGATTGGGACGTGGATTTCTCTGCATGAGCACAAGTTTAGACTAGCAGTGTCTCCAGACCCTTCCTCCGTAGGTAGCGAAGGGGCGGGGCGAGACTATGTGAGTTACAGTTGCTCAAAGTCTGTGATTTAGACTCTTTGAGAATTTTTCAGGCGAGACTGTGGAAAGCAGGAGCAACCAAACTCTCTCAGTCTCTTTTAAATATCTAGAAAAATTTTCTGTGCCAACTCTTTCTTGGAATAGAGCTTCAGATGCTAAAATAAATTTCAGCTTTTCTTCTTTCTCCTACCCATGTGCCATGATTTAGTTAGTTGTTGACCACTAGTGATGGGCGGTATCGGTTCCAAAGTATCCGGTTCCACGGTTCTGGTGCTTGATTTGCTGGTACCGAATCCTGAAGTAATATCGACCGAAGTTTCGGTTCCGGAAGCCACACCCAATAAGCTTTAATTAACTATTATAACTAGTAATAATCATTAATAATCAGCTAATTATTATTCATAAAATTGAGCAATTAATTAAAAATGGCTACGTGTGGGCTATTCCATGCTAGATGCTACAGGTAATCGGAACCGTACTCGGTACCATCAATACCCTCAGGTGAAGTACTCGGTATCGAACCGAAATGGCAAAATCTGGTACCGCCCATCACTATTGACCACACCCATAGCTTATTTTAATTATCATTATAACTATGCAGTCAATAATAATAATTAATTTTTTTCAAATTGCTTAAAATATCACAGTACAAGTAATACATATCACTCAAGTGAATTCCAGCAGGCGAGTCCATTGCACCATAGTGCTTCATTGCATTAGCTGCTGGTGAGTGGATCTTTGGTAGTACAGATGAGGAGAAGAAAGGGCCATGTACCTTTGCTGCTTTTGTATATTCATGTTTTATATCTATCATATTTAATGCACTAGCCACTATATTGTTTGATCGGTTTCTTTTATTGTCAAACCACATCTTCACAAGCGATTCATGAGACCCTGGGTAGTACTGACCCTCACCATTACTTTAGTTTATGGATACTGTCTGCTGTATTTTGCTGTGGTCCATTTATTGGATTAAATGAATGTGTTTATGATGAACAGTTTCTTGTGTGCTACCAGCGGTGTAACAGCATTATGCAGTCTCATTATCATTTCTGTTTTCCTTCTGTGTTACAACTGCAATTATCATTGTGACATCATTATGGACCTTTTGTTCTACTTCAAAGCTCAGTCAGTGATAGGAGAGAGTGTGTATGCTTCAAAGAAAGAAGAGACTCTTAGGAATATTTAGAAGCATGTTACTAGTCTATGGGATTTGTGTTGTACCTTGATGTACCTCCTAAACTTTATATCTCTAGTACAATATATCTCTTTTTATCACAATAGCCAGTCCTATTATCCAGTCATTCTTCAGGCCTGAGATTAAGGATGTTCTTTTACTTCACGCTGTCCTCTTCTCTTTTATTGTGCATGCAGTTAATTCATTCATTAATGTGTGGTTATAGCAATTGATGTTGGATATTAGTTTTTGTATACTTTAGGCTCTCTTATAGTTATTAATCTATTGATTTTGTTTTTCATGTTGCTTTTTCTGTTTCTTTACATATGACATAATTGGGACATCATGCCTTTGATACTGTAGTTCCACTTTGCCTTTTCCTGCTATCAAATATGGCTAATCTTTTATCATAGTAAATGATAGTGCCTTGTAATAGAGTAGCGCAAGATATAAGCAAGTATTATAGTTATTAGGAGAAATTAGCAACGTTACTTTTACTGGTGAGTTCAGTGGTCCAGCAGTAGCAGCAGTTCTTACTGTTGAGATGATGAACATGTAAATACTACGTGTACATGTACATGCACATGTATAGTAAAAGCTATTATAACCACTTGTTTAGTGTTCTGATTGGTCAATTAAAATGCGGTATAATACATGTACTAGGGGCAGATCCAGGATTTTGGAAATAGGGATGTTGTGAAATAAAATGACAGGCGAAGCGCGCCATGATTTGGACCACCCCCCTTTTGGAGCTATTTTGTGGTTAAAATCATGTAAAATCAACATTTCCACCATTTTTGGAGCTCTTTCTTTGTTAATAATATATTTATTAACCACAGTAATGTTGGTTAGCACTTCTACCACTGTTGCAGCAATAAAAAACAATTTTTTTTTTGATTTAGAATGCTTTAGGGGGGGGGGGTTGCAACGCCACAAACCCCCCTAGATCTGCCCCTGACTGTACAATGTATACACATGTATACATGAGTAAACATCCATTACTACTTGTTATTAAAGTGTGTTCTCATGCCACGCCAATGACCAAACAAAATAATTACTAATTAGCTTACTGCACTTAGTGACAGATGTGTGATGTAGTTATTAATTATCATGATGTATTGATTAGTAGATGGGCACTGGTCCATTGAGTACGGTAGGGCGCTCTCTTTTTGAGGGATATAAATTTTGAGTTCCTTTTTTTAGCAAAGATAAATTTTGCAAATGGTGACTGCCTAACACCCTTTTTAACTGACACAATTGCTCTCTAAGGTTAAGGTACATGATTTTACAAAGGTTCACCAGAGTTTTGGAAAAAGCTAATGAACATCAAGTCTATTATCTTCCAAAAATAGCTGAAAATAGTCTAAAAGGCCATCTTTACTATAAAAATGCCCACATGAAACATGCTGTCACACCCCTTGCAATTAAAGGCCACAATATTTGCGTCTTCAGGAAAGATTCACAAAATCTGCAAAATTTATAACCCTCGAAAAAAGGTGCCCTATGGTAATGGACAATGACAAGTAGTCGTACATGTACATGTACATGTGTGTGTTTGTGTATTGGTAGTATTTCAAAGTGTTAGCATGATTTGATTACTATATCCAGCCCTGTAGTGATCCCCAGGCAGAAATGTTCAATGCACAAAGTGCACTGAAAAATTTTGCACAGCTAATTGACTATTCATGATAGGCATTGTCAATTTTAATTAAATAATGATGTTAATAATGAAAGATACGTAAAATTATTGTAAGATATTTTATGGTTCCATCATAGGTTCAATGAATTTCAAGTCAGTCACGACAATATGATTCTTCTCAGTCTCCTGTTGTTATCCTTAGCAGCAAATCTGTTTAGAACTTCATCGGAGACAACTGAGCAGATAAGTCTCTTTCAGTAGATGGGATCAAACCAACCTTTGTTCTGTCATTGTTGTACAAAGCCACTTTTTAATTTTGTTTTAAAAGAAAAAGGATCATTCACTGATGCAGAGCTTACAGCCATGGTAAGTATGATTTCCAATAACTTGACTAAATTATGAAATGTATTTTAGGGGTGATAGCTCCAAAAAGATACTACTCAAACTTCTACCAGTTGTTGCTATGGCATGTTTGGCCGAAGAACACTTTTCAAAAATCATATCCTTATTGAGATTGTAGTTATAAATAATTGGGAGAAGGTTTTCAGAACTGTTTATTCAGCTCAGTCTCATAAAGTATGCAGTCAATTACAGGAATGTAAGTAGATGTTTTGAGCTAATCATAAGTGCTGCTCTTTTCCCTCATTCCAATACATGTAGTTTTTCATTATTATGCTATCTTGAAGTCGATGTGGAATCACTCTTGTAATTTAATCCTGGCAATATCAAAAAACAGCAATTCATATTGACTATAGTCTAATAATGTAAAATTTTGTTGCTGTCATTGTTATTCATTTTGTTCAGTAAAAAAATAATTCAAATTGCAGCAAATTTAGTGGTGCTGACACTGACACTATAAAATTGCTTGAATTCATAGGTGTAGGAATGGGGGGGGGGGCTGAAGCCCCCCAACTTTTCAGCAAGAAGGGCGTTAGCTCCCCCATGCTCACATGCTAAGTCATGCTTTTAAATGCTGAGCCCCCCCCAACTTTTGAATCATTCCTATGCCTCTGCTTGAATTGCATCTTGAACTTGGCGGAAGCTCTGCCCAATGGCATTTAAATTCATGTAATGGCTATGATAATCATTTTTGGGCTCAGGTCTAGTTCTATACCTGCTAAAAAAGCTAGGTATGCAGTAAATTTATAATATGTAAGCATAATCTGCATTATTCCAATGGTCTTCCATCATTAACCACACCTTCAATGAAATAAAACCACTCTGTTCATAGTTCAATCATTGACTTTCAGCAGTAGATAATCTACTTAAATTTAATACATAAACATCTGCTCCTGCATGGACCAATCCTCAAGTTGTGGGTTGCTGCTGTTGCTCTCAGCCTCTAATATTAGATGATCCTACCATCACTGCTCATCTCAAAGTTGGTAGATTCATGGCAGGAAGGGGCCATACAACATACAGAAATGATGCTCCAGGCCTGTTGTACACACATGGAGAGAATCTTTATTATGAAGATACTTGTGGTGAGAAGAGAGCTTGTTCTTTGTGCTGTAGGTTTTGTCAACCATTGTCCAGCATAAATACAATCACTGTTGAGCAAGGTTCACAAAATGTGACTGTTGGAAATGGAGTATTGGTTGGACCATTTCTTAAGGTGACTTTTGATAATGGAGTGATGCTATATAGTCTCAGCTGCAGATATGGGATCATTCCCTCAGACTCTAGACAGCATGACAACAAAGACTATGCAGCCACCTGGATTTAATTGAAAGTATTGAATCATAAACATACTTCATTATACTTCATTGAATTATGAACATACTCTATTGAATGTACATGATGTACAACAAAATCCCAAAAACCCTTTCTTAATAACTACCTCTATTATTAACCATTTAATTAATAAGGACCCCGCCTTTAAGACACGTGGTTGGCTTCTTATCAAGATGGCGTCTCAGACTGAGTCTTTACCCGATGCTCTCCTGGAAGCTCTGGCAGAAAAGGGTCGAGTAGATTCCTATGAATATGCTACTAGTGTTGGTAGAAATCACCAAGACGTGGTTGGAGCCGTAAAGAGTTTGGAATCCGTTGGAGATGTAAGTTTTAGCACTTGATTTGCACATGGTCTCGAGTTTTTGTCTCTCTTTTAGGTTATAAAGACAGAGCAGAAACAGACTGAATTGTGGGAGCTGACAGAAGAAGGTAAAGAGATAGCTGAGAATGGTTCGCATGAGGTTAGACTCTTTGAAGCAGTCGATCAATCAAATGGAACACCACAAAATGAACTGATGGTGAGCCTCATGTAATTATAAAATTATATATATATATATATTAATGAATTACCAAATTGTTCATTTTTGATAAAAGTTTTATCAGTCGTAATGAAATTCTTTTTTACAAAAAAGCTTAGAAACGAATTAAATTTTAAAATAAAATAATCATAATTATTATATTTAATTTTACATATGCAGTACATGTATTTTTTGTCTTCCTTTTTATTTCATTCCGCTATCTCTCCCTTTAGTCTACAGTTCCTAATGCTAAGATTGGTTTCAGCAAGGCAATGTCCAACAAATGGCTAAGGATAGACAAATCATCACCAGGCCCACCACAAGTTTATAGAAACGTAAGTCGTAATTAGCATTTCGATATTACCGGACTCTATTTATGCAACATTTGCTACTGAAGATTGAATGTGGCTTGCTGGTTATTATTATTATCAGTTAGTTATGATGTGGTAGCTATAGTAATGATCCTTCACTATCCACGTCAGAACAAAGCAGTGACAACTTTGTTTTGAGCTGTACGGGGGAAACAAATGAAAATTAATAACCAGAGTACATGTACTCTAATTGTATGTAGTACTGTAATTTTGGATGTGGAAAATTGGATGTTTCGATAGTCATTTACCAAAATGAAAACCCACCATTATGTCCATGCTCAATAGCCAATGACCCTTACTAACTGTACAAAGGGAATTAATAATAATGGTACATATACTCAAATTTATTAATAATTATGATTTATGTAATATATTACTTATAGTTTTAAATTTTGAATTATTTATGTATAATGAGTAAGCTATATTAAATTAATTAATTGTGTAGGTGGAGTCAGTGACTGATACTGTCCGTAAGTTATTGTGTTCCCTCAAAGGTGAGAGTGGGAGGGGAGAACTATCCGACGAGAATTTGAAGGAATTTAAGAAGAGGAAGCTCATCACTAACACGTCAGTTTAAGTTTGTGTAACTTAATTTTATTATTGGCTTCTCTCTCTCTCCCCCCTCCCTCTCTCTTTATAGTATAATAAAAAGTTACGTAATCACACAGGGTCCTAGCTTTACGACTAGCATCAGTAAGAAGAGTACAGAGCTTACTGCTGAAATGATACAAAAGTGAGTTCATGATTTGTAATATTCACATGTATTTCAGATGTACATGTATATGTGTGTTCATGTTTTTGCTGTTATCCGATTGGTGCCGTACCAAGTCACATGACTATATTGTTTGGCTCTTTAGTTAGAACAGCAATACCAGACACCACACACTTTGCTATTACCAATCATGTACATCATTTCCTAATATGTACATTGAACGCTGTAAAGTGACATTACAAGAAAATATTACAAGAAAGTATCCATTTACAAGATCTAAATTTGACCGGAATCAGCTTAAAGTTGATACACATTATAAGCACATGTATAGTGTACATGTATGTGTGCATGGATAAATACCCCTTCGTAATACCGTATAGCGTTTTTTAGGATAATAAATTTGGAATTAATAGTGGAATTAATTTTTGTGAATTTCCACTATTCTGCCATTTTGTATAGTATTAAATTGATTTAATTTCAAGGAATTTTATTTTTGCGGATCTTGAAAAATCCACAAAATTTGAGAATTTTGTTATCCTCGAAAACAACCTGCTATACATACATGTAAGGGTACAATTTTAATTCACTAGATGTACTTATTGAAATAATGTTCCTTTGTTATTTTGATTCTTTTGTTCTAGTGGTTCATGGAAGAATGAAGAATTCAAGTCTTACAATTTCAATGCACTAGGAGCTCCTCTTGCCACTGGTCACCTCCATCCATTGCTTAAAGTTAGGACCGAAATACGACAAATATTCCTTGAGATGGGGTGAGCCTTTTATTGAATACCGTATTGGAGGGAGTTAAATTTGGCAAATTGGACTTTTTGATAGCCATTTGCCAAAATAAAAATCTGCCATTTTGAGCCATTATATGCATGCTGAATGGCACGTGGCCACTAGTTTGACAAATTAAAATTGGCTAATCACCAAATTTAGCAATTTGCCAAATTTAATTTCCTCCAAATTTCCTGCTATAATATATGGTACCGTATAGCCACAAAGTTTCGAGGCAATAAACTTTCACAAATCAGGCCATAAGTCTTTTTTCGCGAATTAACTTTCGCGGTTCTTGTTTTAAAGCACACGTGTTTATGGGCAATACGGATATTTCACGGAATTAACTTTTGCGAATACGGAAAATCCGCGAAAATAGCGAAAGTTGTATCCTCGAAATTAAGCGGCTATACGGTATTGTTAGTAGCTAGTATAGTGGGTGTATACCGTGTATTGTACATGTACAACTTGGCAAAAATTGTTTGTCTTTAAAATGCTTATAACTCGAGAATTATTTGTCAGAAACTTTCTACATAGCATAAGGACATCAATGCAGGGGCGGATCTAGGGAGGGAGTTTGTGGGGTGGCAACCCCCCCAAAACATTCTAACTCAATAAAACTTTTAATGCTTTTATTGTTGCAACAGTGGTAGAAGTGCTAACCACCTAGTTTATATAGCAACATTACTGTGGTTTATGAATATAATTAACAAAGAAAGAGCTCCAAAAATGGTGGAAATGTTGATTTTACGTAAATTTAACCACAAAATAGCGCTAAAAAGGGGCGTGGTCAAAATTTCGGCGCTTCGCATGCCATTTTCATTTACGACCCCCCATTTCTAAAATTCTGGACCTGCCCCTGCAATGTACATGTACATGAGAAAATATAATAAAAATTAGGGGTGATTGTGAATCAGCTACAATGTACATGTACATGTACATCATTACTGTTACTAATTTGTGATCTGTTACTGTGTATAGATGATGGAATGGTATGTTGTATTTTTTAGATTTTGTGAAATGCCTACGAATAATTTCATTGAGAGCTCCTTTTGGAATTTTGATGCTCTTTTCCAGCCTCAGCAGCACCCTGCCCGTGATGCTCACGACACATTCTTTTTAAAAGGTAAAGCAGAAATAATTTTTTCTTTAGTATTTCTTTAATTACAAAATCATTTTATATATTCTAGATCCCCAGTTTTCTTATGATTTCCCTACCGAATATTTAGAGAGAGTGAAGACCATGCACCAGACAGGAGGACATGGATCAATAGGGTAGGAACTGTTTGTATGTGCACTCCATTTTGCTGTAGTGTATTCATTCATTGACACACATCCCAGCCTCAGTGACATATTTTATGGGCCCAAATTTTTCAAATATATGTATAATCTTTCCAATTATTACAAATACTGTAGGCAATTTTCCAAAATTTTCCTCCTCCTACATGTATATAACCTGCTATGTGTACTGTACATTTACATGTGTGTATATGTAAATTCATTTAAATTCATCATTACAAATGTATGTGGCTACTTTTGTGAATGAAATGCATGTACAGTCAAACCTCTCTAAACCAAAGCCCCGATACGGACACCTCTCTATAACGTACAGTTGTTGTTGTCCGGCCATAAGGCCATTTGCAAGAACCTCTGTGTAGTGGAACCTCTTTATTCTGTATAATGGATGACATTTACTGTCCCCACACATCTACATGTGTACAAATTAACCTCCAGTGGGTGAACATGGCCCACACAACGGACTTTCTAATTAATGTGTATCTAGAAAATGGTGGATTTTCTGGTCTGATCAGCACAGGATAACCTCCTATTTAAGGACACCTCCATATATAGGACACCTCCATATAAAGGACAGTGATGGCTGGCCCATAGGTGTCTGTCTTAGAGAGGTTTGACTATATAGGAAATTTGTCAAATTCCCCCCCCCCCCTAAATAACCTGCTACACACACATGTGTACATATACATGTGTATATGAGAGTGTTTAGATTAATTTAGCTTGTGCACTTTATATAGTTTGATTTACTGTAAATCTGGTTATTTTCAATTTACATTTAATATGTTAGGATTCTTTTTATTGATGTTTCCTTCTCTACCCCTCCCTCTATCCTAATAATAGTTATCAATATGACTGGAAGTTAGAGGAAGCTCAGAAGAACATTCTCCGGACTCACACTACTGCTGTTAGCACAAGAATGCTCTACAAACTTGGACAACAAGTGGGTGTGGTTCATTCAAATGAATAATTAATGAGCTA